AATTTTCTTCTGCTGCAATTTTAGGCTGAACTGCTTATACCTAAATGTTTTTCCTCCTACCCAAGATCTGAACGATCCTCCTTTTAGGTGTCGAGGATCCCCCTTTATATTCTGATTGTACTTGTGAGGATAATGTCTCTTAGAACTTGGAACACAGATCAGAACTAACATTCTCAACAACTTCCTTTCCAATATTAGTTTTAAATGTTGACCATAAACCTGTGACTTCTTTATTCTAGACGTTATGACTTTAATAGGTAAACTGCAAAATGCAATGAAAACAAAATCCCACCTGAAACCTTCACTTGGGAAGCACATATGGGATCTGAGTTTCTACTTATCAGTAGATCATCAAATACACATCAAAATACCAACAGCAGTTTTCACTAGGTGGTGGGTTTATAGATAATTTTTTTCTGTGTTTGTTAAAGATCAAAAGATCTTTCGTATTCTATAGTAAACAAGTAAGATTTCTATAATCAGGGGAAAATCTGACTAGAAATATTTTGAGAAACACATAAACAGATTGTAGCTTTAAAATTCGTCCAAATGACCATATCTGCCCTTCTAAGGCTTATATTCAAAGAACTATACATAATTACACAGCTCTGAGTGCCAGGGACAATTACTGCTACTTGAGTGTGCGGGGGCCTTCACGTGGTGAAAGCAGCTTCAGCTCTAAGAGTTCCTTTAGCTGACAGTTGTTCAGATGCTCTTTTCTAACACACTCGTGAAAATCCCAGACAGTTATTCTTGGGCATACATGGGTGGTGGTGATCAGTAAAATCTGAAATGAGATATGATCATAAAGAGAGCTAATTCCATTATTTCTGCCAGGAAAGAAGTGTCTCGAAATGCTTGAAGCAGGGCAGAGGACCTAAAGAGACACCTCTCCAAAAAGGACACAGAAATGGCCAACAGACATATGATAAAATGCTCAACCTCACTAATCATCAGAGAGATGCAAATTAAAATGACTATGACGTATCACCTCACACCTGCCAGAATGGCTGCCATCAACAAATCATCAAACAAGTGTTGGTGAGGGTGTGGAGAAAAGGGGACCCTAGTACACTGCTGGTGGGAATGCAGACTGGTGCAGCCACTATGGAAAACAGTATGGTGTTTCCTCAAAAAATTAAAAATTGATCTGTCATCTGACCCAGTGATCCCACTTCTAGGAAGATATCCTGAGAAGCCTGAAACATTATTCAGAAAGAATATATGTACCCTCATGTTCACAGCAGCACTATTTACAATTGCTAAGATCTGGAATAAAAAAGTTGTGGTACATATACACAACAGAACACTATGCAGCTGTAAGACAGAAAGATCTCCTATCCTTTGAGATAACATGGAGGAACCTGGAGAGCATTATGCTAAGTGAAATAAGCCAATCAAAGAAAGACAAACACCATAGGACATCGCTTATTTGTGAAATATAAAGAACAAAATAAGCTGATGAACAAAATAGACCCAAAGACACTGAAAGGGGTACAGTTCAGACTGACAAACCTCAGAGGAGGGGGGGTTGGGGGTGGGTGGATGAGATAAACCAAAGAACTTACATGCATAGCCAATGGACAGAGACAACAATGCTGGGGGGGGGGGGAGGTGGATTGGGGGCAGGGTGTGTCTAGGCGAGAAAAAGGAGAACATTTGTAACAAAAATAAATTAATAAAAATTGCAACAAAACAAAAAGAAATGCTTGAAGTAATTATTCAGATCTTCATCCATTTACAGGTAAAATATTAAACTCAAGAAAGGAATGATAAGATGTATTTTTTTAATGCGAAGATATAAAATTGGTTGATTAGTGAATGTTCTCGTGGCGGACGTTCTGGCTTTTGTAAGTTAGTATCCCTTCTCTTGTGGAATTACTCCAGCACTATTCTTAGTGGTAATGATGGACTGTCAATCACAGCTCACTGTCCATTGCTCCAAAACCCTGCCCCACCTCCCACCTGCCTGCCACCTCACAACACAGTTAGGGGGCTTAAGAGTCATCCTTTTTAAATAATTAATTATTATTTTAATGTTATTACATTTATTGGGGGTGATATTGGTTAATAAAATTACACATTTGAAGTGTTATAATACATCATCTATATATTTGCAAGAAGAGGGTCAAATATAGGATGATGAAAGGAGTCACAACGTTGGGTGGTAAACACTCATGACTCATCTTGGTCAAAAGGAGCCCATTTCTCCTGGCAACAGTGACTGAAAGGCAGCTTTATTTCCTAGGATTGATCTACAACCCCTAGGAAAAACAAGATTTTTTCCCTGGGTTGCTATTCTGGAATGACATAAGCCAGGGATGGCTGGGACAGAGGAGAGGTCACAGTTGTGATAGAAAAGAATGAGGTAATACTTAGAAGGAAGCAAAGTGGGGAGATACAGAGTCCTGATGGTCTGTTGGAGCCCTGCCCCCACTCTCCTAAGTCCAGCTGTCTCTGGGCTTCCCGTGAGCAAGTATGAAAGGCAAACACCAACATGGGAAACGTATTAGCAAAATATGACTAAGTATTAATAATCTTAATAATCCAGTGCTCTGATTTTAAATTATTAAGAATAAAATAAATAATTCAGTAGAAAAAAAGAAAAAGATCCTAAGCAGCATATATGTATTTTTTAATAGTTACTCAATAAAATGAAATTTATATGTGGCCTCTATATTGTTCCTTACATTTCCAAATTTTCTACAGTAAGAAGGTATGACTGTAATTGTGGAGGAAAAACCTTAGAGTAAATATAGTAACATATAAAATTACATTTAAGAGTGTTAGGCTGGCATCTAGCAGCAGGCAGGATGAGTGGGTAGGTGTGGAGTCAGAGATGTGGAGAGAAGTCTAAGGGCCAGTGTGTGCCTGAGGAGAAGGAAGCATCTTTGGAGAGATGTAAACAGCATCTCCAGGGAAACAGATGGGCTGCAGGGAGGGGCCGACTGCTACAGGGGTGAGCTGAGTCACTGACTCTGTGACTCCCCTCTGCGAGGAGAGTGGTATCCTGAAAAAGACAGAGGGACATTGAAGAAGGGCTGAGTTAGAAGTAGGAAAGGGAGTACACTGACTCAGATAAAAATAAAAAGCATATGAAACTAAAACCAAAGATTAGAAGAGAAAAAAAAAGACCTTAAAGTCACCTAAAGAGATTCTTATTTTGTGATGAGGATCCTGGGTCCGAAGGAAGCTAAGCAACTTATTTCCAGGTTACACACCCAGGGGCATATTTAGGAACAGAAATAAGGCCCCTCCTGCTTTTCAACCAGACCACCCCATCTCTCCTATCTGGTCTATCGCTATGTGTTCAAGAAAACTACCCGATATGCTATGCATTCCATTTCTTCTTTTTCTTGATTGAGATATTTATACCACATCTAACATTCAGTTAAGAATCAGCAACAATAAATCTCTCTCTGTCACAAACACAATTATGATTACTGGCATCATGTGCAGACACAATATTTAGTGATATAGACAGTATGGCTCATGCATTTGTGCACATAGAACATATCAGGGCAAAAAGATCTGTTCCAGTGTCTCAGTTAAGAATGATCGCTCTTATGAAGTGGCATGGAAAAAGCAGGCTCTTGAGAAAGCAATCTGTAGTGATCCCTTAGTATGTTAGCCAAATTACTTAACGAGTAAGCCACCGTAATAGGCAGCTCTAAATATCTTTATTCACAGCTTGTGATATATTTTAAATATGAACTAAATATTTTAAACTTCACTTGATAAAGCTGTTTTGTAATATGTGCTGTGGTTAACTATTTTAATATGTTGGACAGTAAAACTAAATGTAACAGTTCCAACATTTCTCATGGGAGTGATTTAGGGCAGACATATGTTCTTCATCAGAGTTTCCAGCAGAAATCTTAGAAATCTAGAGGAAAAATAGACCCTATTTATACTAAACAGCATTGCAAACCACAGTGGTAAACAACAGTCTGTTTTTTGTTTTGTTTTGTTTTGGCAGCTCTGAAACAAGAAATGTGAAATGAAGGTGATTCCTAGTGAAAAGTCTCACACTGAATACCACAACAACGGAGGCTCCATAAATTAGAACCAAGAGATGAGGCAGAATCCCTTCTGAAATGAATTTCCCCTGCATCCTGAAGTCCTCCGTCAGCTGAGTGGGTGGATTCTACAGTCATGATTTTGTACACTGTCACTTACTATAATGAGCTCAGGTTTTCACTCAAGTGTGGGTAACATGAAGACTGATGCTGAACTTTCAGGATCACGCTTCCACTTACCACACCACCATCCTTGTCGCTGCCAAGCCAATAGGAATGCTCAAGGTCTGAAGAACAACTTCTCAAGGGAAAGATTTGTGAAATCTTGAAAACTGTTTTTCAATGTGAATAGTGCCCTTAGGAGCAAAAATCTGCAAAAATGCATATTCTGAGTTTGACGAATTACTGAGGGAGAGCTGTGAGGTGAGGAAGAAGGCAGAGGTGATAGCGGAAAGGAAGCATACAAGGAGAAATTCATATTAGCTCCTCATCTTTTACAATTCTCCGTTTGGAAGTACTTCATATTTTACTAAGAAAACTAACTTTCTACAAGGCTGGGAAAAGTACTTGGCCAACTATGAAAAATGCTTTGTTTGAAAGACATACCTCTCTTAACATAATAAACAAAATGTCTATGCCTTGCGCTAATGGAGATGCAGGTTTTTATAATAAAGTGGCAGCCACGAATAGCAATAATAATTTTATATGGTCTATGATTACCAGAACTTTTCAAAAGAGGAAAGCTGTCATAAACAAATCATTGCAATAGGTTTTTACTCTTGGCTATAGAATGTGGCTTTGTTTTAATATAAATAAGGGCACATACACATTTTTCCATTGTAAAGAAGAACTAAAAATACCATGAGCTGCCTTGCACAACCTATTGAAAAACAAATGCTCAACTCCTTCCTCATTTGAAGTTGATAAAGAGACTTTCCTCTGTTAGATATCCCACTTGAGAGGTCACTAGACTATGCTTACCTTCCCAGTGTCCTTAAAGAATGGTGCTTTCCGAATGGGACCTGCCTTTCCTCTCCTGTTACATGTGGCTGGTGCCACGCAGGGCGATGGACAAGTGAGAAGGAATAGAGAAGCAAAAACTTAGGAAACAAAATCACTCAAAATCAAGACTTTTAAAAAACTGCATGTGATTTAAAAAGTCATGGTCTATCATGAAGGTAATTTATAGATTTTATCCAAATCAGTGTGAAGTTTTGATTATTCTGGCAAGAGTAACAAGAATCCTGCCATTATTTTAAGCCAAAGTTTTGGAAATTATGTAGTCAAGGAAGCACAGCTAAAGATCTTACGAGAAAAATGCCATCCACAGAATTTGAGGAGAACTTATGCACCATCCTTTCTACAAAACTTACTCTTCACATTCTAATATTTTAAAGTCTTAAATGGTCTTAGAACTCAATTAGTACAATTCTTGCCAATGCCTAAGTCTCAGTGTCTGCTCCTTGTGGTGGGAAGCTCTTCTCATGGGGGTGAGTCAGGCTTTTTGTCTGGCTTTATTTTCCTAAGATGTCTTCCTTGTTTTTATCCTCACCCAATGATTTTTTTCCATTTATCTTCAGATAGAGTAGGAGGGAGGGAGGGAAGAAAAGAGAGAGAGAGAGAGACATCGATTGGTTGCCTCCCGTATAACTCCGATTGGGGCTGGGGATGAACCGCAACTGAGGTATGTGCCCCTTGCCAGAATCGAACCTACAACTCTTTGGTCCAAGAGCCGGTGCTCTAACTGCTGAGCCAAACCAGCCAGGGCTAAGATGTCTTCCTTTTATTGAACTCAAACTGACTCCTAGAATTTTCTGTCCAATAAAAAGAGTTCTGTGAGAAGTCTACTTCCACTTAGATGGTATCTTTACAGAATCAACTTGGAAAGAAAACCTATGCTACTTCACTGGTAAACTTATGCAATATTAACATTTAAAAAATGTGATTTTTTTTTCCCTTTAGTTAATAGAAGTCAACATAGGAGGTCACTAGGTCTCTTCCTTTGCTTTCTGATATAACTGTAGTATATCACTTCATCTGCCTGGGATCCTTCAGATTTCTAGTAAGTCCTAGTATTAGAGATTCAAAAGCTTTCCTTTGTGATCAATACCTGAGTCAGTATCTAATACAAAAAAATGTAACCTGGAAACCCACAGGCTGAATTCTGGCTTTTAGTAACACAATATTTTAGAATATTAAATGTGGTTAATTTTTAAGTTTAAAAAATTCAGATTTCTGATTGCTTGATAGAGTGGCAACTTCTGATTCATGTTCTCCTGGCAAAAATTAGAGGATCCCCAGTTTGACACAGTCCCCACCACTCCCTATTGCCTCCTTCATTAAAACTGAATATCCTTTGCTAATTGTCATTGTATTTTCACTGTTGTTTTTCTAAAACTTAACCTATTTTACTTATTTATATTACTTGCTGGTCCTTGCAAGCTTTTGAATTTGAGACTCCTATTACAACCCATGGTTTAAAGCATTTTAAAAGTATGGAGTTACTATGTAATTATGATTTTGGTATCAGTTGAAAGATATGAAGAAAAAATTCTGTAACTTCAGTAATATCTTTACATGAATTTATATATTATAAATCACAATAACAGCACAAATATGTGTGTGTTCATATGTGATAAGTAATACTGTTTATGAAATATCACCTGATATTTCCCCAATCCTTGTCTATACGGGATTCTATATGGTCACACCCAATTCTTTGTTCATAGATGTCATTTAATACCAAGTCATCACATTCAAATTCACACATTGTGGATGCTAAATTATACTTTGTATAATATAATATTATGTTGTTTTGTAGTGTTTTCTGTTTGTCTTGTCTCTAAAATGACCATAAGCTTTTTGAGAATGGATATTGCTTGATGATAATAATGGTGGTGACAACAATAAAATAACAATGATAAAAATAATGATGACACAGGTCATAGGTAATACATACTGATGGCATATTATGCACCAGGATCTGTACCAAGCACTTTGGATGTTTTATCCCATGAGTTTAGTACTATTACTATCTCCATTACAAGTCTTATGGGTAGGGTTTACAGAAAGACTATTGTTTTCCTAATATAAAAAAGGGCAGACTCCGATACTCTATGCCTTTTACTTTCACCCTTTTCACCTTTTGACTGAAGCATGGATACAATGTGTCAAGAAGAAGTGCCCACTTAGGACCATGATGTCAAAACCATGCCTTCAGGAAGGAAGGAAGGGAGGAAGGGAAGGGAAGAGGGAGGGAGGAAGAAGTCAAAAAGAGTTCTGCTGCCTGTCTCTGAACTTCCTGTTGAGAAAAATAAATCCCTGTTTGGTAAGCTAATTTAGTAAATTTTCCAGTACATATATCCAAATGCAACCCTAATGCAATGATATAGTAATTGATAATCCCAAGTTATCAACAGGAAGTAAAAGAAGAGTCTAACAAATGTAAATTACAGTTTCTATGGCATTATCATGCCTCTATCTTGAACCACTTATCTTTTAGATACTTTGAATCATTCATTCCCTAGCTTTACACTGAGCCTAATTAAATAGGTCTAATCTCTATTGACCTTTTCTTTAAAGATAGTATAAAATTCAGGGAAATAAATTAATGAGTAATATAAAAATTCCTTACCAAAAAGACATTTTTTTCCAAAATAGTTTTGGGTGTTAAAAACCATACGCAAGTTTTGTTTGTCTTTGTTTCTTGTTTTTTTCCCAGAGCCTTCTGACCAACCAATCTTAGCACACTGATCTGCCCCTAATAGGTTCCAGGTGTGCCAAAATGCTTCTTCACTTCAGTTCACAGGTCAACCCTGTAGGGCCTAGAGTGGCCAGAGCCCTGGGCCTCGTTGCCTCTCACCACAAGAGGCCTGTCTGTTTACCTCTGTATACATACTATACAAACAGTTTTGCTGTCCATGTGTCTCACACTGTGAATAAAAGTAGGAAGAGATAACCTAAATTACAGCTAGATGCTCTCAAAATAATAAAATCAATGGTGAAAAAAATGATCTATTAACAATACTACGTGGACCAAAAATGAGCTCACACACATAACATTGCTATATTCTCAGCAAAATAATAAGTGGTCAATAGACAAAAGCACTCATGTTTATTGTCAAAGACGGGTGAATTGCCCACTAGCACGCACTGCTGGGACATGGCAGAGCCAGGACTTTTGAATCAAGGATTTCTGCCTCTGAGCCCTGTACTTTTCTTGTAGGATGACATTCCAAGTCTGTACAGATCTTTAAAATTAGTGTTTTGATTTCATTCTCTGAAGAGAATTCAAATGGTTTTCCTTTGTTTTCTCTTGTGACTGCCATGCAAACACTAACATACATGGAAACTGATACTCTCTTTGAACTTAGCAAGGCTGAGAAAGGACAACATTCAATGACATATTTAGGCCACACCAATTTTCTTTCTTTGCTCTCATTGCTGACACCCAGAGAGCCAACCCCGGTTATTTTGTGTGAGTAGAAAAGAGAGTTTTTGCCTACCACTCCCAAAGAATATCTATTAAAATGAAAGCAGTATCTCAAGTTTTGTTATGTTTTGTCAATTATAATTTCTCATTGTTCTTTCCACAAAAGGGAAGGATGGGGAGAAATAAAAGAAATTGTCAAAATTAAATTACATATTTAACATATGAAAGGAAATATAAATTTTACACACAAGGCAATTATTGTTAAGAGAGATACTGAAGTAAAAAAATTGTTTTTATTAGTTTTAGAGAGAGAGGAAGGGAAAGGATAGAGAGAGAGAGAGAAAGAGAGAGAGAGATTGATTAGTTACCTCCCACACATACCCAGACCATAACCTGGGTATGTCCCCTAACTGGGGATCAAACCCATGACACTTTGGTGTACTGGACAATGTTCCAACCAACTAAGCCACAATGGTCAGGGTAACATTTTAGTTTCTTTATAGCAATGCAGAAACAAAGATGATACATGCATAAAAATAAGAAGGCATAAGGAAACATCTACTAGTAGCTATTATGAACAGATTAAAAAGCACAAGCAATATCTAAAATATTAACCAAATATTAACTCACTGTTCAGAAAATAAGAACATGGTGGAATGATTGAACATGCATGGCTTGAAACAAAAAGTATAAGCAAGTATAGGTTAGAGAACATAATAAATGCAGTGGCTATGGAAGTGAGCTCATGGCAGGTTTAGAATTTTTGTATTTAAAGACATGGGCTCTACCTCTGGGACAACATCAAGCATACCAACATTCACATAATGGGGGTACCAGAAAAAGAAGAGAGAGAACAAGAAATTAAAAACCTATTTGAAAAAACAATGACAGAAAATTTCCTTAATTTGGTGAAGGAAGCAGGCATACAAGTCCAGGAAGCACAGAAGAGTCCCAAACAAGATGAACCCAAAGAGGTCCACACCAAGACACATCATCATCAAAATGCAAAAGGTTGAAGACAAAGAGAGAATCTTAAAAGCAGCAAGAAAAAAGCAGTTAATTACCTACAAGGGAGCTCCCATAAGACTGTTAGCTGATTTCTTAAAAGAAACTTGGCAGACCAAAAGGGAGTGGTAAGAATTATTCAAAGTGATAAAAAACAAGGACCTGCAACCAAGATTACTCTATCCTGTAAACCTATCATTTACACTTGATGGACATATTAAGAGTTTTCCAGACAAGGAAAAGCTAAAGTTCATCACCACCAAACCAATATTATATGAAATGTTGAAGGGTCTTCTTGAATAAGAAGATCAAAAATGTGAACAATAAAATATGAGCAATGAATACATGTCCATCAACAATAGAATCTACAAACAAAATGAATAAGCAGAACAGAAACAGACTCGTAGATACAGAGAACTTATTGTTGGTTGCCAGGTGAGAGGAGGTTTGGGGGGATAGGTGAAAAAAGTGAAGGGATTAAGTACAAATTGGTAGACTGATGAGTCTCAAAGGGAAGGGGGAGGGGGGCAGGAAGAGGTAAAGCAAAGAACTTATATGCACATTTGCATAACCAATAGATACAGACATTAGTGTGGGGAAGGTAGGAGGGGGGCAGGAGCGGGGAGGAGGGGGTCAATGGGGTAAAAGGGGAGGAACATCTGTAATACATTCAACAATAAAGATAAGTTAAAAAATAATAAGAAAGAAAGAAAGAAAGAAAGAAAGAAAGAAAGAAAGAAAGAAAGAAAGAAAGAAAGAAAGAAAAAAGAAATACAGACAGACAGACATGGGCTCTAGATCCAGAACACTGGGGTTCAAATCCTAGCTCTATCACTTAGCAGCTGGGTGATGATAACATGCTTAAGTTTTTAGTGCAGAAAAAGTGTTGCTTTCTTGATCCTGTCAACAGTTAAGGTTATTAAAACATAGAATTTTATAAAGTATAATTTTTATATTGATTAATTGCTTATTTTCAATAATACTTTTAAACCAAATTTCATCAACCACAAAATGTACACAAGGCATAAAGTAAATTCTGCACCCAATAACAAGTAACCCAAGACTAAACTGGAATAACATAAGCACAATGCTGTGGGCAAGTTCATTGCAAAAAGCCAGGCTGATCTAGCTCCATGATAGGTTTTACGACAAGGACATTTTAAACAATTTGTTGTTGTTGTTTTAAAATTTTATTTATTTATTTTTAATATTTTTATTTATTCATTTGTTTTTGCTACAGATGTTTCTCATTTTCCCCCACTGACACCCTCCTTCCCTCCCCCCCATCCCCAGCTTTGTTGTCTATGTTCACTGGTCATGCATACATGCATATAAGTTCTGTCATTTATCTCTTCTCCCCCAAACCCCTCCCTCCTCTGAGGCTTGTCAGTCTGTACCCCACCTCCATGTCTCTGGGTTAATTTTGTTCAGCAGTTTGTTTAGTTCATTATATTCCACAAATAAGTGAGATCATGTGATATTTGTCTTTCTATGCTTGGCTTGTTTCGCTTAGCATAATACTCTCCAGGTCTTTCCATGCCATCTCAAAGGATAAGAGATCTTTCTTTCTTATAGCTGCATAGTATTCCATTGTGTATATGTACCACAGCTTTTTAATCCACTCATCTACTGATGGACACTTGGGTTGTTTCCCAATTTTAGCTATTGTAAGTAGTGCTACTGTGAACATAGGGGTACATATATTCATTTTGATTGGTGTTTCAGGTTTCTTAGGGTAATGACATACTTCACAGAACTAGAACAAACACTCCAAAAGTTCATATGGAACCAAAAAACACCCCGAATAGCCACAGCAATCTTGAAAAAGAAGAACAAAGTAGGAGGGATCACATAACCAGATTTCAGGTTATACTACAAGGCCACTGTAATCAAAACAGCCTGGTACTGGCATAAGAACAGGCAGATAGATCAATGGAACAGAATATAGAACCCAGAAATTGACTCGACAATATATTGAGTTAATATTTGACAAAGGTGGCAAGAGTATATAGTGGAGTCAAGACAGTCTCTTCAATAAATGGTGTTGGGAAAATTGGACAGCTACCAGCAAAAAAATGAAGCTAGTACACTAACTTACACCATACATGAGAATAAACTCAAAATGGATAAAAGACTTAAATGTAACTCGTAGATCCATAAAAATTCTAGAAGAAAACATAGGCAACAAAATTTCAGACATCATACGCAGCAGAATTTTCACTGATACAACACCTAAGGCAACAAAAACAAAGGAAAAAATGAACACATGGGACTACATCAAACTAAAACATTTCTGCACAGCAAAAGAAACAACCATCAAAAGGGAAAGGGATTCCACTAGATAGGAGACTATAATCACCAATGATGCATCAAATAAGGGGTTAATTTCCAAAATATATAGAGTACTCATACAGCTCAGTAAAAGGAAAACAAAGAACCCAATTAAAAAACGGGGAGAGGACCTAAATAGACACCTCTCCAAACAGGACATACAAATGGCCAAGAGACATATGAAGAAATGCTCAACATCACTAATCATCAGAGAGATGCAAATTAAAACACTATGAGGTATTATCTCACACCTGTCAGAATGGTTGCCATCAACAAATCATCAAACAACAAGTGTTGGCAAAGGTGTGGAGAAAAGAAGACTCTAATACACTGTTAGTGGGAATGCAGACTGGTGCAGCCACTGTGGAAAACACTATGGTGTTACCTCAAAAAGTTAAAAATTGAACTGCCATTTGACATTTAAAGCAATTTGATTCTTCCAGTATATACTGGGGCACCCCCTCCTGTTCTACAAGATTGAGTCACAACATCCCCAACACTATCCTATTACTTTTTATCATGGAGTGTAGATTAAACATTCTCCTCAGCAGCTAACTGTAAACATAAACTCTACTTCTCAGGACACATGACTTTATAGCATACTTAATGAGGGTAGTCTAACTGACCAAGTAAAAGTCTATCTTCAGAAATAAAGTCCTTCTGGTGTGCACAGAAGTTGATACATGTGTGTTCCACTAGTGACTTCACTTGAGTCAAGTTTAAGTAGCATATCTCATCCTTCCTGCTTAAGCTGTACATGCAAAGTTAACCTAGGGAGAAATGTATACCAGTATTACAAAATGAGACGTCTCTAAAAATTTTAAATATACTAAAATTTCCACAAATTCTTACTTTTTAACCTTCAATTGCTAAACTTACAAATTTTCTAATATAAACATAAAAGTACCGAAGTGATTTAAAATGTGGAATCATAGTTAAAAGCAAGAAAATACAATATCCTGAGGAATCTAAAATAGAGAAACTAATAAAGAATGAAACACTGGGTCAACAATCAACTCAATCAAATATTAAATGAATTCTCTTAGAGCATGACTTCAATTCCCAAAATAATTCAGTAACATACTAATACTACAAAAAAGCTATCCAAATAACCTTAGCTAAAACACACCATCTTTGTCTGTTTCTGGAATTACGCATTTCAAGAATAACTTCCAATTAAATTCTCCTAGTATTCAATTTTACTTTGAATCAGATCACTGTTCTTAAGCACTGTATAAACCATATTAAAGCTTCAATATTCATTTTTAGCCAAACACATGTAATCACATATAGTGCTGTACCTAAATGGAATTGGAACAAATTCCACGAGTTTTCCTTAAGTAGATTTTATGTTGGCAAAGAGGTTCTGTGCTAAGCAAGAACACGGCTCATTTCTGTGGAAACTCGCTCGGTTTCCATTTCATCAGGGTTTGATTTACCATAACCAAACACAGGGGAGGTCAGCAGTGGCGCGAAGGAGAACACACGTGCGCGGGCGCTCGGTCTGACAGCCACAAGGCCTGCTTCTGAGCAATCTGGACACGCCCCCAGGGAGGCACAACAGGGGACAGGAGGAAAGGCTGGAAGATACACAATCTGCCTCAGCGGAGCCTTCCTGAAAGGAGAAGTCTACACACGCCTACACACACACGTTCATTTGTGAACGGAGACTCGGTATGTTTTCAAAGTATTTAAGTTTTATGAGTGAGTTTTAATAATATCCCACTTTCAAACAGACCCAGGCTCAGTCCGCAGTAATGGAAATAAGCTTTATAGAAAATATAAATAAAAATATTGAGTTTGATACAGGATAAAACAAATGAAGGTCTCTATGAGTTATGTAACAGTTCTTACTAGAAGTGAAAAGTTGGGTTTTATTATATTTAATTATATAATTCTCCCAAATTAATATAGCCTACTTTACTGGGATGTTTGCGTATTGTTTTGGATACCACCAATTATCTGAGATTCAAAATGAAATCTGAGAAGTCAAAATAGAAAACTACTCTGAAAAATGGCAACTTTTTAATGCTATAACATTGTGTAATATCTTAGGAAAACATTTTATAAAGATTGAAATGACAATATCAAAGTGAATATGTCAACAGAAACCTTTTGAATAGGATGAACCACATTTTATTTTTCCACTAAGATATTATGTCCTATGAGTATTTTGCTATTTTATAACAAGGCTTTGGCTCTAAGGAATATGAATTCTGACAAGCAAGTAGAGGCTATTTCACTCCCATGACTGGAAAAAAAAGAAAAATACTGCAATGAGAACCTCTGATCCTAAAGGCTATCTAGCATTCATCAGACCTTATGAAATTCCAAACCATTCCAAAGAAGATGGCTATGTCCTCTTTCTGAAATGGCTTTTGTTTATTTTATTTTATTGTTGATTTTAGAGAGAGGAAGAGGGAAAAAGAGACAAAAACACTGATATGAGAAAGAAACATAGACCGGTTGCCTCCCCCGCAACCTGGGTACGTGCCCTGACCGGGAATCAAACCCTCCATCTTCTGGTGTATGGGATGAGGCTCCAACCCATTGAGCCACACTGGCCAAGGCTAAAATGGCTTTTATTGTTAAACCTGTTTTCTGTATCACTGATGTTTATGTCCTATGTCTTTGTTAAACACTCACCTGTGATTTTTTGCAGCAAAGGTGACAACTCAGACTCCTCACAAAAGGTTTGAGCCAATGCTTTCTTCACCTTTTCTTCAGTTTCAGCCAGGTCTTTGTCCTCTGTGAATTCTCCAGTGACAGAATAAATATATATTAGGAGGATCAACAGCTCTTCTGGGCTGTAATCATCGTTGGTCCTCTGATTCGAAGGCTTAATCATGGGCAGCAGCTGATTTAACACAACAGGCATCGTCGACTCACCCATGCTCTGAAATAAAGGTGGTAACATGAAAATATGTCAGTCTTGTACAAAGATGTAATTCATGCACTACATCAGGGTGCAAATGACTCTGTGATGTTTGCTGCCTAGCTTGCTTCTTACATCTTTGTTTCCCGTGCTAGAGAGAATACTGCAAGAAAGTTGGCATTAGAGTTGTTTTTTGAAAGATTTGGTTTATAAAACAGCTAGACAAGTTGTAGATCATCTTATATTACCTTACATATTGCCTAAACAGAGTCCACTAGTTTTAGAAATAAAATTATAAGTACTTCCCTGGCCGGTTTAGCTCAGCAGTTAGAGTGTCAGCCCATGGACGAAGGGTCTTGGGTTCAATTCCCAGTCTAGGGCATGTATCTGGGTTGCAGGTTTATCCCTGGCCCTGGTCAGTGTTGTGTGGGGGAACCAACTGATGTGTCTCTCTCACATTGATGTTTCTCTCTCTTTCTCTCTTTCCCTCCCTCCCTTCCACTCTAACTAAAAAAATCAATGGAGAGAAAAAGATGGCGGCAGGCAGGACCAGAGGGAGGGTGAGTGTGTAAGAGAGTGAGCTAGTGTGCGAGAGAGTGTGAGTAGATGTGAAGGTGATGACCAAACTCGTGCTGTGCAGAGACGCAGAGCAGAAGGTTCCTATGCTGTGGACAGAGCAGCCAGCTACCACAGTAAGCAGCTCTTCAGGGCGCTTCTCCCTATGCCACAGGGAGGTCCCACCATTTTGGAAGATCCTGGGTCTTCCCTGGAAGGAGGCAGTGGGAGCGGCTAGGGGCCAGCAACCTGAGCCACCAGTGCACCTGGCACCATCAGACCAGTGGACACCCTGTGTCAACAAAGACCAGTGCACAGAAGTGGAGTTGTCAAGGTGAACGGCCGGGAGCCCAGCACTATCCTCCACAGTAGCAGCCCAATCAGAGTCCAGATATACTCCCAGCAACAGAGGCTGGGGAGCAGACATCCATCCCCAGGCAACAGAAGCACAGATCAGGAACAGAGAACCATCCCCAAAAACCACAGCAAAGGCTGAGCAGGAGCTGAGCTCTACTGGGCAGCAGCACTCCCCAGCCACCAGCAGCAGGACCTGAGTCTCCATCAGGGCCTGTGCAACACTGCTGCCCACAAGAGCAGTGGGAAGCCGGGGTTCTATAGGAGCCTGGGTGACCCAGAGGCCCACAAGAGTGGTGGGAAGCTGGGGATCTAGAGAGACCTGTGCGACCCAGCAGCCCACAAGAGAGGTGTGAAGCCAGGGTGCCACAGGGACCAGTGCAACCCAGCGGCCCACAAGAGCGGTGCAGAACCGGGGATCCAGAGGGACCTGTGTGACCCAGCCACCCAAGGTGCAGGCAGGGAGTGCGGCTCCAGCAGGGCCTGAGCAATACAGCTATAGGTGGCACCAGCGACCAGCTGGGAACACAGCTTCAGAGGGACCCATGCAATCCAGCAGCAGCACCTACTTGGACACACCAATACCAGCCCCCAATAGTCAATCCTCCAGGATCCAGAGCAGGCAAGAGGTGACACGCAATAGATCAGTCTGGGAGGCACAGTAGCCTTATTTGATATATAGTGAGCTGCCTGCACATCAAAACATCCCTCACCAGGTATAGAGCTACCAGATGGCTAAAATGTGGAGACAAAAAAGTAACACCCAAAGGAAAGAAAAAGAGAATCACTGGAAAAGGAACTACAGGAAATGGAAGAAAGCAACTTGTCAGATAAAGAATTCAAAGCAATGATTTTAAAGGTGCTCAAACAATTTGGTGAGAACTACAAGCAACTTAATAAGAATTATGAAGAGCTCACTGGGAACTACTTCAACTTAAAAAAAGTAGAAGCTATGCATAAAAATCAAGAGGAAATAAAGAATGACATAGCTGTTATAAAAAAATAGCTTAGAAGGGTTCAATAATAGATTAGAAGAAGCTGAAGACCGAATCATTGACTTAGAAGACAAGGTAGAGAAAAACACCTAAATAGAGTAGCAAATGGAAAAAAAGTTTAAAAAGCAGGAGGGGAGTTTAAGGGAGCTGTGGGACAATACAAAACGTAACAACATTCACATTATAGGGGTACTGGAAGGAGAAGAATCAGAGAAAGGATTCGAGAACCTGTTTGAAGAAATAATGACAGAAAAATTCCCTAAACTGGTAAAGGAAAAAGTCACACAAGTCCAGGAAACACAGAGAGTCCCAAGCAAGATCAAGCCCAGAAGACCCACAGCTAGACACACCATATTAAAAACAGCAAACATTAAAGACAAAGAAAGAATCCAAAAGGAAGCAAGAAAGAGACTGAAAGTTACCTACAAGGAAGCTCCCGTTAGACTGTCAGCTGATTTCTCAATAGGAACGCTGCAGGCCAGAAGGGAGTGGAATGAAGTATACAAAGTAATGCAAGGCAAGGGTCTGAATCCAAGGCTACTCGATCCAGCAAGGCTATCATTAAAAATTGAAAAAGAAATAAAGAGCTTCATGGATAAAAAAAAAAAAAAGCTAAAGGAATTTACCACCACCAAACCAGCACTGCAAAAAATGCTGAAGGGACTATTGTAAGAAGAAAGAAAGAAAGAAAGAAAGAAAGAAAGAAAGAAAGAAAGAAAGAAAGAAAGAAAGAAAGAGAGAGAGAGAGAGAGAGAGAGAGAGAGAGAGAGAGAGGGGAACACAGGCATAAAATTAAAATGGTAACTAATAACTATCTATCAATAATTACCTTAAATGTAAATGGCTTAAATGCTCCAATCAAAAGACATAGGGTAGCTGATTGGATAAGAAAACATAACCCATATATATGCTGTCTACAAGAGACCCACCTCACAACAAAAGACTCACACAGGATGAAAGTGAAGGGACAAGAAAAAATTTTCCAAGCAAATGGAAATGAAAAAAAGCTAGTGTAGCAATACTCGTATCTAACAAGATAGGCTTCGAAAGAAAGGCCATAATAAGAGACAGAGAAGGTCACTACATAATATTAAAAGGATCATTCCAACAAGAGGATATAACCCTGGTAAACATATATGCACCAAAAACGAGAGCACCTAAATATATTTTAAAACTTCTAGAGGACTTCAAGGGAGAGATCAATAGCAATACAATCATAGTGGGTGACTTTAACATGCCACTGACACCACTGGATAGATCTTCTAGACAAAAATTAACAAGGACATAGAGTCCTTACAAGACGAACTAGATCAGTTGGACTTCACTGATATTTACAGAACATTTCACCCCAAAGCTGCAGAATATACATTCTTCTCAAGTGCACATAGAACATTCTCAAAAATAGACCACATGTTAGCACACAAAGCAAGTCTCTACAAATTCAAGACGACTGAAATCATATCAAGCATCTTCTCAGATCACAATGGCATGAAACTAAAACGCAATTACAATAAAAATACACAAAAACATTCAAACACTTGGAGGCTAAATAGCATGTTATTAAACAACGAATGGGCCCTGGCTGGTTTGGCTCAGCGGTTGGAGTGTCGGCCTGCGGTACAGAGAGACCCGGGTTCAGTTCGAGCTAAGGGCGCGTACCTCGGTTACAGTTTGTCCCCGGCCCTGGTTGGTCGTGCGGGTGGCAGCCACTCGATGTGTCCCTTCACATCGATGTTTCTCTCCCTCTCTTCCTCTCTCTCCCTCCCACTCTATCTGAACAAAAAATGGAAAAATGTCCTCAGGTGAGGATAAAAACAAACAAACAAACAAACAAACAAACAACGAATGGGTTACCAACGAGATCAAGGAAGAAACTAAAAACTTCCTGGAAACCAATGAAAATGAACACACAACAACACAAAATCTATGGGACACAGTGAAAGCAGTCCTGAGAGTGAAGTTCATAGCACTACGGGCCTACCTCAAGAAACAAGAAAAGTTCCTAATTGACTTTCTAACCCTACAACTTAAATAACTAGAAAGTAAACAAAAAGAAAAACCCAGAGCTAGTAGGAGGAAGGACATAGTAAAGGTCAGAGCAGAAATAAATGACATAGAGACCAAAAAACAATTCGAAAGATCAATGAAACAAAGAGCTCATTCTTTGAAAAGATAAACAAGACTGATGAACATTTAGCCAGACTCACCAAGAAACAAAAAGAGAGAAACCAAATAAACAAAATAAGAAACAAAAGAGAAGTAACAACTGACACCACAGAAATACAAAGGATCATTAAAACATACTATGAACAGTTATACACCAACAAGTTGGACAATCTAGCAGAAATGGACAAATTTCTAGAAATACACAGCCTCCCAAAACTGAACCAGGAAGAAATAGAAAACTTGAACAGACCAATAACAACAAAGAAATTGAAGATGTAATTAAGAAACTCCCAGCAAACAAAAGCCCAGGCCCGGATGGCTTCATGGGGGAGTTTCACCAAACATTCAAAGATTTAATACCCATTCTCCTCAAACTATTGCAGAAAATCCAAGAAGACAGAACACTTCCAAACCCATTTTATGAGGCCAGCATAATCCTAATTCCAAAACCAGATAAACATACTACAAAGAAAGAAAACTACTGGCCAATGTCCCTGATGAACACAGATGCCAAAATCCTTAACAAAATATTAGCAATATGAATCCAGCAATACATCAAAAACATTATTCATCATGACCAAGTGGGATTCATCCCAAGGATGCAAGGATGGTATAATATTCGCAAATCAATAAATGTGACACACCACGTAACAAATTGAAAGATAAAAATCATGATCATATCAATAAATGCTGAAAAAGTGTGCGACAAAATCTAGCACCCATTTCTGATAAAAACGCTCAGCAATCTGGGAATAGAGGGATCATATCTCAACAAAATAAAAGCCATATATAAAAAACCTACAGCCAACATCATATTCAATGGGCAAAAACCTAAAGCATTCCCCTTAAGAACGGGAACAAGACAGATGCAGACTTTCACCACTTTTTTCAACGTAGTACTGGAAATCTTAGTCACAGCAGTTAGACATGAAGAAAAAATAAAAAGGATCC